GAAATTTGCTTACTTATCGTATGCTACGATACATGAGCAAATTGATATTTCGCGCCTCGAAAATCAAGATCAATTACATCTTTCGCGTGATATTACGATCTCGTTAAGCGTATTCGAGAGTCGTACTTTAATCACAGATACGTAAACGAGATTCGTGTAATGAGAAAAATATCGGTATTGGAAAGGCAAACTTATTATTTTTCCAAACATAAAATATTCGGGAAAATTTCCCGCTATCTCTCGAGGCAATATATCGGGAACAATTTAAAAATCAAACCCGTTCAAAATTATCTCTACGATGCCCATTTAAACTATCCTGGTGGAAACGAGTTCCTTTTCGAGATTCAAGAGTCATTAATGTAGGCCACCGGCTGATTTTAATTAGGCCGATTACGTAGAAACGAAGGTGGAAAGAAGGAAGGTGGTTGGATGTTAGGAGACTCGCCGGCACGAAACCCTCGAGTTCGAAAGAGTGCGCAAACGAAGACGACTTTCGAAAGCGTTTTCTATGCGCTCAGGGGGACGCCTTTCGAATCACGGTAAACTAATTAAAAAAGAAGAGGAGCAAGGATTCTAGAAATTTTCCAAGGATGGAATCGGCGGGGAGGACAGAGCTTCAACTCTCGAGAGATGCCACCCACGATACGTCTTCCCCGATATTCACATCACAACTTTCCCGCGTACAAAGATCACGTTGCCACTTTTATTCGTCCTCGATATGTCGACACTTGTCCACTACTTCCAGATCGCAATTTTTCTTAACGTAACCCCACGAGTTATATTATATCATCCCCCTCTGCTCGTTTCTAACGCAATACAAGTCGCATCAATCTTTTCTCCTTTAAAGGGGAGACGTTTATTATGGCCGACGTACCGTCTCTGTGCTCCTTTTGGCCGTGATAGTCGCCAGTATGATGATCCTCCACGCCGTACGAGAACTCGTAATGGGGATACGCCACGTAATCGTGATCACGATGGCCGTGCTTGTCCTTCCAACTCACTTCTTGAGCTTCGCCTATCACAGGTCCGTGGAAATGGTGGAAAGAGTGCGCGTGACCGCCGCCCTCCGCTCTCCCTCCGTCGAGCAGGGCCGACGAAGCTAGAACAAGTGCTACCAACTATTGGGGGAAAAAGCGTTAATTTTCCATCCGTGGCTAAACGCGAAAGAAGATTATTGAAATTTTGAGAGGAAGGGAGGAGGAGGAACGTTTTCAACGTAGGGAAGAATTTCTAATTTCGCAAAGTGATTAACACAGGACGCGAGGAGGAAAATCGATAGAACGCTGGGCAAACTCGGACAGAAGGATTCTGTTAGCGCGGTGGACCGTCCCAATCTATAATTAAATGGTAGGAGACGATCGATCGGTCGCTCGTCAACTTCGCGAGGTTAGAGCAAAAATGAGGAGAAATGGTCGATGTGCGCGTACACTCACTTTAAAAGCCATATCGCAGAAGGACGATCGGTATCCAGAATCGGGCGAAAACTGAATAGGCCGGGGCGGCCGATATTCTTCCTTTTATAGGTCCACTTTAAAAGTTTTCCCTCGGCTTAATTCTTCTTTGGACCCATGCCCGGAACTTTGCCGGTGCAGACGTTGCAAAACACAATTATTCAAGCGGCCGGGGCCGCAAAAAGCGTGGCGCGATGCTCGGTCGAGCGCACATTAGCCAATCCTGGCTCGCTAATGGAGTTGGTTGGGAAAGAGGGCGAAAAAATGGAACGCAGGAAAGGCATTTGTTTCTTCTTTCCTAGGTGACACACGCGTATCGATCGTGGAATCGATCGATCGATCGATCGATCGTCATGCACCACGGATCCCGAAAATTGCGTTACAAGTTTCCACTTTCTTCTCGAACGCCGCCTCTCCACTCGGCTGATCGCATGCTCCATTTCGTCCCGGATTCCCGTCTTACGTTGCAATTGTTTAGGAAACGCGATTAACGTAACTCGGTGTCGGAAATTGTCTCCGCTTTCGTTACGCGTGCTTTCGCGTTACGCATCCCCTAACGAGAATAACTTTCCAGTTAGTGCAACGAGTTATATCCTGAATAAATATATATACACGAGATTCGTACGTATACACGTCAACGTGTAAAATCACGGCCAGATTTCGCGATATGATACAGATGTTGGATTCTTTTGATGCTTTCTTCAATTTCTCGGCAAAGGTTCACGAGATTACGCTGCTTTTTGGATTGTATTATTTCTCGAGAGTATTGGATATGGGGAAGAAAAGAGTATCATTCTCGCGTTCGATGGATTATATGGTTGAAGTAAAAAAAAAAAAAAAAAAAAAATGGACGGGGAAACGCGTCCAGATAGTCCTTGGAAATAATATCGAATTTTTTATCCGCCGGGCGAAAGCGATCCTTGCGTTATTAACAAAAAGTGCAGGATTCTATCCGCTCTGTCGCGGAGCGAAATGGTTCTGGTCCCCGGCTGAGAAACGGGAGAGCGAGGACGAGAAGAGGACGGATTCTGGCACACGATGTGCTGGAGCGGCGGAAGTGCTCGAAGAGGCGCTCGGCTTTTGAGTTATGACACTTTTTGAGTCGAGGAGTCGCGATGTGAATGGCGCATCCGAGTCCGGCTCGTAATATCGTGGCTCGATCTCAGGGTTGGGCCGGCGATAAATCTGCCTTAAATAAGATTTGCCGGCGACGTTCTAGCGAAATAAAAGGAACGGTCCAGCTCGAGAGGTGGGAAAGGTTTACTTTGTCTCGATATCGTCTTTCTCCGTGTGATTGATCGCTAATTTTCGGCTCGAAAATCGTCCTTTAAACCGCTCGATTTTTCCCTCCCCCTATATCTTCGCCAGAAACATTTATAATTCGCTCTTGAAGCGTGATTATTTTTAATTTTTCATTTTATACTACTCGAGGAAATAGTATCGGCGTAAGAATCGTATCGCGACGTGTATCGAGAAATACTTATCCGTCCACGGTCAATTTCGTCGATTCGCGTTTTCTGCCGTTATATGGGGCACACGTTGCATCTTTGAAATTCCTATCATACGCGTAAACACGCGTATTCGTATTTCGATCCCTCGAGACGAAATCTTGGAATACAAGTCCTCGACTCGTGCTCGACGAACGAGAAGAATTGGTACCCTTACACGATAAATCATGCCACTCTATGCACGATGGATTTCCAAATATTTCTTACTTTCTTCTTTATTCATTCTCGTCATGATGGTAATAATTTTTTATACACGTTTTTCTTCGTACATTCAATCAAAGGAGATTCCATCCCCATTGGAAAATTTATACGAAAGATTCGATGACTTTCCCTTCGCTTCGTACATGGTCCAACTATTTTAATTAAAACGAAGTCTATCCGAAAGCTCAATTTCCTTCTCAAGCGTGAACTCGTCGATGATTCTTAATCTCTCCACCTTCCACGGAGAAAGTCGATATTAATTAATATTCGGAATAGATCGATCGAAACGATTCGAGAACTTTCCGTTCGATTTCCCCGTATCGATCATCGAGCCACACTATTAACGTCGGAGAGAAAAAGTACAACTTCTTAACTATTTATCATACAGCGAAATATTCGTGTTGTATTTTGGAGAAAAGAAGAGAAAGGAAGAGAAAGGAGGGGCGAGTGGAATTTCTGCGCTTTTTACGCGTATATCAATAATTCGAGGGTCAACATCAGCATAAGAAAATAGAATGGAAAGATAGCGAAAGCGAAGAGAAAAATCTAAATCTCGAGATTAACATAGCGTGGTTGTTGCCTACGTAACGTGGTGGTTATTCTCTTTTGTACTAGTAAAACTACACACACGAGAGTCCATCGAGAAGAAGAAACGTTCCATAGGATGATGACTACGTTCCCCGAGTATCCCCGAGACAAATTCCAAGGAGATAGTTCTGGGTAGAGAGAAAGACGAATAGTTCTGTTTGCCTTGCGAATTTCAAGGTGTACCCAACCTCTTCTCCGTCCCCTCCCCGCCCCTCGTTCCTCCGTCCACGTTCCACCGTCTCTTTCTTTTTCGGTTTCCGGTGGGAAAGCGGTCCGTATCCTTCGCCGCCATCTCGCTTCCCAGGGCGTCGAGAACCTCTGCTCGTTTATAGGTCACGATCTATTCCGTGCCTTTGGGACGAACGTGCTATCCACAATTCCTCCTTGACCTCCATTTGCGGTCTGGAATTCCAAAACAACGAAGACGAACTCCAGCAAACTCACCCACGCTCCCTCCACCGCTTGTCACCGTTTAGAAGAAACTCTTTCTCGCTTTTCTCACAATGGTACGGCGTAACGTGTCTCCAATGATTACAGTTTCAATCTAGCGTCCCTTGGCGGCCCGATCGAACCGTCTCGTCTATTATTTCGAAAAATTACCTAAAATTGCCTTCTCCCTTCCTCGAAAATTGAAACGTATCGAAACCTGTCGTCTTTTCTGCATCGAGATACGCGATTCAAAAATGGAGCGGGATAAGAAAAAGGAAAAAAAAAGAAAAGAAAAAGGACTTGGGCGTGACTGCAACGAATTGGATCGCGTCCCAGTGTCTCTCCGCATCGCGGATATGATTCGGATATTTTAGCATCCCATCTATTACGGTGTCGGCTTCGCTAACGAGCCGTAGCATTTTCCACGACCTTGCTAATTTTCCAAGTGTTCCGATTACAGGCTGATAGCCGGCGCTACGCCCGCGCTGATGTCGCCGGGTTAATTGGTTTTCATGCCGGCGCTGAAGTTACGGATACCCCGAGTTGGATTACCGTGGCCTGTAAACAGCCGCTGTCTCGCCGCGGAAAGGGTCAGAAGCCTCGATTTCGCGCCCCTCGCGTCGTTATCCTTCTCGTGCCGTTGCTACTTAACTGGCTCGCGGGAAGGAAACGGGTTGAAAAATAGGAGAATTCCGGAGATTAATCGCGATCCGTTGGAACGAAGTTGCGCGTAATTCTGGAAATTGTCCAACGTCGAGTCGTGTCGAATGTAACGATCAATTTTGTGAAAAAAATAATAATCGAATTTGTGATGATCGGAGAAGATGGACGGAAATATTGAACGAGTATCAACACTCGCCACGGTTTTAAAGGTGGGGGATAAATTTTTCTCGCGCGAGTAGACTGCGAATACGTGTACCGCGTTGATGCATGTTCCCCTTGGCTGATCCGAAAGCACGATAAACTTGCGCATCCGGGACACGGTACAACGGAAGTTAGTCGCTGTTGTAATCACTGTCAGGATTCCACGGATATTACGGAACCATGCTCGAATAATGAATGGTAAACTCTTCTCTGCATATTCCGTGGATGTTCGTCTCTCGAGGCGTGCGTTTATCGTCTTTAAAGTGCATCGCCGCGATTCAACGATCTGACGAAAAGGTGCATATGCATGAAGAAGCATTTACTACCCGTGCCTTACTGGTCGCGGTTTATACGTAAATAAGTCTCGTTATCGGAATAAAATTACAACGCGTTCGATAATCGATGAACGTTGAGTACAAGAGTTGTGGATGCATAACGCACGTTAAGGGCTATTAAACTTTTAGGTATCCAACGATTCCCGATTTTTCTTTTTGGCAAACTTTGCATTTTCCGATAACGATGTTAGGACGTATCCTAAAAAAAAAAGAAAGAAAAAAAAAGAACTGCTCGAGTTAGCTTCGAAATTACGATGGAATATTATCTGTTTATTTTACATGGAATTCTGATGCGGTGAAAAATAATTCAGATATTTCGTCGAATAAAATCAAATTCTTTCTCGATCGACACGGCAAACATTCGTAAACATTGTATCTTTTAATTTTTCTCGCGCAGGACGAGTTTCGGTTTAATAAATTTGTTTTTTAAATCCCATTCCCGAGTGAATTTTTCCGAGTAAAACCGACCACAATTTTTCCAAAACTCCTCTTTTCTCCGAACGGTAAAAGTTTCGCCGGGAAACTAAAAAAACGGTTCGTTCCAACATATTCTCATAAATAATACGTGATATTCGGTCCTCTAGTAACCCGAAACTAAGGATAAATTTACCCCATAAGGCAACTATAATCGTATCCTCTAATTTCCACTCCACCTTCGCCCCAATCGTATTCAATATACATTTCGAAGGACGTCGGTCGGCGTTGACATTTCCACGTTGGAGCAGTACCCGTACTCGCGCGTCCGGGTAATAAATCTACCCGTCCTTCCATCTCCTCGAACTCGTTACTCTTCGCGCTTCCTCTAATTGAGTTTCGTGGTAGCTCTCTCGGCGGCGATATCGAAAGACGGTTCCGTTTCTTCCTTTCTATCGAGGGTGGTCGCGCGAAGGGCCATCGAGTTTCGATCCTTTCGAATTAAACGAGGCGTAATTTGAAAAACGAAGATCCAACGATCGGTGAGAGGAATAGCGAACGAGCAAGGGTATGGGTAGAAGTTGAGAAAATATCTTCAACATCGAGGTAATTCCAACTATCCACCGTTAAACTCGGGGGTGTACATCCGCGTTTT